AAAATTAAAAAACTCCTCGAATCCTGCTAAGACTGAGAAACCTAAAAGGCTCATTTCCAGAAGGAAGGTCAAGGGAAAGAAGAATGGGCCTGCAGGCGAGGCCCCGCCCCAAAGCCCCTGGGCAGACAGCCCGCCCCCGGGGAGGCGGAACTTCCTCCCCCCGGGCAGCTGCTTCCGGTAGAGTCCGGAAGACTCTACCGGGAAGGGGCTAAAACTGCGCGGCCAATCGGGGCGACACTTTCGTCTTACCGGGGGACTCGTGGGTAACTTGCTCTTGGGAACCAGCACCATGGCGTCTGGCTGCAAGATTGGCCCGTCCATCCTTAACAGCGATTTGGCCAGTTTAGGGGCTGAGTGCCTCCGGATGCTGGACTCTGGGGCCGATTATTTGCACCTGGATGTAATGGACGGGTAACTCCTCGGGGCTCGGGTCAGGGTTGCCGCGCGGGGCGGGCTCGGCGCACCTTTATTGAGTGCCTATTGGGTGCACGGCGTCCCTGTACGGCAGAGCGCCTCACTCTAAACGCGGTACTGAAAAAGGGACTGGGGTGAGGGTCCTGAATGAAGGCCCTTCCTGGAGCGAACCCGAGGCCGAATGCTGGGCTGCGACTGCGTCCCAAACCTCCACCTCCCCTCCCCCCACGTAACGTGTGGTCTCCTAGCACCTGGGACCCGGTCGCAATCGTAAACCTCTAAGGATACGTCTCTCATTTTCAGTTAAGAGAAACTGAGGCCCAAGGGGATAGGTATGACTTGCCCAAGCTCATATAGCTAGTTAGTGGCAAAGCTGGGGAGAAAGGTTTCTATAACGATGAAGAGCTTGGCACCTGTAGTGAGATTGCCCGAGTTCTGCCATTTGATGGGTCACCCGGGACAAGCTACTTAACCTCATTGAGCTTCAGTTTCATTATGTGAAAAATGGGAGTAATAATAGAACCTACCGCTTAGGCAACTTTGGAAGATGAAAGGAGCTAACACGAAAGGAGCTAACACGATAAGTATACAGTGCCTGACCTACAGTAAATTCTCTGTAACTGTTAGTTGTTGTATCATTGTTCGAATTTTGATTTTCCTGTTTATTTTCTCTTCAGGCACCCTGCTCTTCAGGGAGGTCAGTTTTTTTGTAAGTAATTTTTAAGCACTGTAGTTACATCACATAATCAATATTGTTCAGAACCAGGATGATGCTAGTTTTTTGAAGTTGGCTATAAAATGTGGAAACGAACCTAGAGAAAACAGTAGGACTCTCAGGATTACACAACACTGTGACAGAGTTGCAAGTTGTATTTTCTTGGATTGGCCAAGTAGTTTTTTGAGCCCTGCTGATAACTGGCCTTAAAGTAATAACAGCCATTACTTTGGGTTGGGGTAGAAAAATAAAATATATTTCAAATAGGTAAAATTCCTGTGTGACTTCATGCAAATTTGCAAATTGTGTTATTTACAAAAGATGGTCAGTTACTTCCTTTTTTTATGTCACTCCTGTTACAAGAGTTTTGTCTTCGTTTGTTCTCTCTGATTAAATCTGTTGTTTTCCTTTTGCGTCTCATTCCGTTATCAGTATCCCAACTGATGATGGCAAAATCTTGACCTTAGAATACTAAGAATTCTAGGCTAAGTGTGTAAGATTAGTAAATATTATCTCTCACAAAAACCTGATTTTTATTGTGCTATCATATACATAATTCTGCTTTTCTGGAAAGTTCTGAACTTTCACACGTAGCTGAATGGAGTGTATACTTCAGAGATGGCTACATTTTCATGTCTGGGACACAAATTTTTTGTCTGAGACACCTACCTCAGGATAGAGCAGGCTACATGTATATGTATGTAGTCTTTTTTAACAGGGAAAGCCGTTTGGTTTTTTAAATAAGTCTTGTACCCTCTTTGAGTAACTGAATGGAAAAAAAATTGTTTCTGTTCACAGGTCAGGAATATTAATGATAACAGTAATAGCTAATACTTTTGAACACTTAACTAGTTCTGTTCTGATGCTCTTTGTGGTTTAATTCACACAACCTTATGAGGCTGTTATTGGCACCAGCATTTGACAGTGGGGAATTGGACATAGAGAGGTTAAGTCACCTGTCTGAGGTCTCCTAGTTAGGAAATGGAGGAGCAAGGATGAGAAGCAGGCAACAGCTGTGTTGTCTCAGAAACTAATGTCTCCTGTGGGACCGGGGCTTACAGAGAATGATTAACACATTCTTTTTCCTTGAAGAGTAACTATACACTTATTTTTGTTATTTCATGTCTCTCCTATGGTGTAAACTCCCTGAAAGCAGGGTCTCTGGCTCACCTCAGTCCTCCTCAGGTAAAGCACTGTGACAGGCTTAGTTATAATTGGCTGAATGAATGATTGGATCTGTCATAATAGAGAGATCTCTAATGAATCACTTTTGTCCCCTCCCAGCCCTATGGCAGACCCGGAGCTTATTAAGATAAAAGTATTTGTTTTTTATTGACTCCTTTCCCCCTTTGCCAAGTAACCTCTTGGTTTGACAAAATTAAATTCTCCAAACACCATTTTAAACCTTTCCCATTTAACCTTCACAACTTTTTGAGCTAAGAGGTGTTTTTTATTCCCCTTTTGCAAAGGAGGAAACTAGTTCAGGGAGGTCCAACCTCTTCCTGATGTCCCGCCAGAAAAGGCAAAGCTGGCTGAGCTGCCTTGTTTCCTGGGCCAGGTGTATGCAAGTGGGGGCCTGGACCCCCTTTTCCAAGGTGGCCAACCACGACTTAACCTTCCCTCCAGGTACTGCCTTCGTGCTTTTCTGTTTCCTGGTCCCTTTAAAAAAAAAACCCCAGTATTACAATTTGGGTGCACCTGTTGTTTCCCCTTTCTCCCTGAAGCCCCCAGTTTCTCTCCTGATTAAAACTGAATGTCTTTATCTTGAAAGTCAGGAACGAGTTTTGGGATTATTTTGGGGGCGGGGGGAGGGCCATGCACTAGTATGGTTGGATACTTGAAAAAAAGAACAAGTGAGTTCTCTAGAAAATTGGAAAACATATACATCTGTCATGACAGGGACCAGAAGTGTGTTGGTCCTAAGTGTAGGAAGAGAGGAAATAAGCAGTTTCTAAATTGGTTACCGGGATTTAAAACTGGGGAGATGTCACATTAGTACTAGATTGCTGACCTTTGACAAACATCCAAAGATTTGCCTGTACTGGGTCCACAACCTCCATTAGCTAGGCTAATGGATGTTCTTCATTTGTCTCCTGTCCCCATCTGCCCTGTTCTGCTCCTCCATGTTTTCTGCCAGCCCCTGTAGGCATATGAAATTGTGTTGCTTGATTCTCAGGAAATGTTTTCTGGTTACAGTCTTGCTACGTTTTCGATCAACCTTAATCATCATCTTACCATCTTAGCCTTGTTGGGAGATCTGGTAAAGGTTTTATCTGTCTGAAATAGATTGTATGACAACTGTAAACAAAATTTAGGGTTGATGATGATACATGATGAGAGAGAAAATAATTGTATACCTGTGTTGGAAACAATTACAGCTTAATCTCAGGAAGTCTCTGGGGGAAAAAAGATACTTTTTTATTGTGTTTTCTTTTTTGCAGACTTCAGAAAGTACCTTTAAGGGGGAAAAAAAAGAATAATATAGTGATGAAACAGACTTCCTTGATGAGATTTCTCTTCATTAGAGTGAAATAATTTGGTATTTTCCAAGCTGGTCTGGTAAGAACTCCCAGGGCATCTGTCAAGAATTCAGATTCTCAGGTCCTCTTTGGTGTCCTAGGGTTGGAGTAGGGCCTGTAAATCCTTTTGTGACAAGTGCTCCCAAGGTTACTCTTATCAGGCAAATTTAGAACCCCTTGACTTCATGCTTGGCTTTGTTGCCTTTTTTTGTTCCGGCTTAACCATAAGCCTTTGGTTTCTTCTGAGGGCGTCGGTAGGTTTATAGGTTTATATTCTTCCAGCGGCTGTGGTGAACCCAGTGCATTGCAGTGATCATCAGTGCATTTAGTCCTACAATTTGGGGATGAGTAGTTTTAAGTGATACTGTATTCTTGTTTCCCAATAAGGTAAAGGTATATATTTTTTTTCTCCTATTTTCTCAAGATGTGTGTGTTTAGATGGATGTGAAAATAGACACAGTCTCTTTTCATTATAAAGGCAACCTAAGGTTGAGGCAACAAAAGTCCTCCCAAGGCCATGCAGCAGGTTACAAGAACAATGAGCAAAATCCAAACCTTTCATTCCAGAGTTGTATAGTATCCAGTAAACCTCACTGTCTGCTTCTCCGATCCTCACCGCCAAGTTCTGAGTAAACACAATAAGCATCTTATCCGTAGCGCAGGCAGTCACTGCTCTGAGGTAAACGGTAGAATGCTTTTCTAAATACTGGAAACCCAACCTCCAAGGACCACAGTGTTTGCAAGTGCAAGTGTCCACACCCGTCCATTCACCTTAGCCGGTCCTTCTCAGAGTTGCCCTGAATCCTGACCTCTCCTCCTCCTCCCCTGAACTCTCTTTTTTTGTTGTTATCATAGATGGGCAGGTGAGCATATTAGTTAAGAGCCTGGACTTTGGAGCCAGATGGCCTGTGTTTAATGCCTGCTTCCAGCACTTACTGGCTGTGTGACCTTGAGCCTCTTTTCCTCGGCTCTAAAATACAGGTGATAGGAGTACCTACCCCAGAGAGTTGTGAGGTATTAATGAGTTAACTTATGGAACGTGTTTAGAATGGTGGCTGGCCCATGTAAGTTTTAATTTTTTATTAGCACTCATTCTGTCCTCTAAGCTTAAGATCTTAATCATGGTTTATTCTCTTTTCAGCTCTGCAAATCTAATCAGTTAACAATCCTGTCGCGTGTATCGGTCCTCATTTCCATTCTTACAGTTCCCTGCCATTTGCCAACACCTACTTCCTTTCTTCCAATGTACTGCCCAGTCCATCTTCCTGTTTTATTATTTGCACTTTATTTTTTATTTGCTTCTTGCTTTAATACTTTTTTTTTTTTTTTTTAAGTAATCCCTACACACACTGTGAGGCTCGAACTCCCAGCTCTGAGAAGGGCGAGAGTCACATGCTGTACGGACTGAGCCAGCTGCTTCTGGCTTTAAAACCTCACTTCACATTTACCACAGGATGGAGTCCAGCCACTGAGCCTGGCTTTCGATACCCTTAATGTGACGCAGTCCACCTCCTGTTCTTTTCACGCTCGCCAAGCTGAACACCACCACCTCTCCCCTTCTTTGAATGTAACGTGCCTATTTCTGCCTTTGCTTCATTTCTTTTCCCATCTTTACAAATTCTATTTGTTCTGTAAATCTTGTGATCTTCTCCTCTTTTAATGTGCCATATTACTTACCTCAGGTTGCCCACTTGTTATTGTTTAGCTTTTCTTGCGATCCTCACATAGGGTAATACCTACTACTTTTAACCAATAAAGCCCAGAGTTCAGTGGATTAATATTATGAAGTGTAGTTCTTGGTCATGTCACAGTTGAGTGTGAATGTCCTTCCGTGAAGAAATTCAGGGACATCGTTTGCTTCCATCCTGTGACTGTCATTCCTTAAGGGTTTCTCTACTGATAGGAAAGTAAAGTGAGAGCAAAAGAGGAACACTTCTTAACCTCCTGGGTTCTGCAGTGACACCCATCACTTAAATGCACAGTCTTTGGTGAGAACGAGTCACACGGGCCACCTGGATGTGGAGGGAGAGGGAGTTGGCTCTCACCAGCAGCTGTACCAGTAGGTCATGGATTCTGTCTCTTGCCATAGCCGTCTCTTGCCAATGAGATGGTAAACTTTTCTGGGTAAGCAGGAACTCCCATATTTCTGTGTAAAACCCAGGCTGGTCCTTGTATAGAGGGGTTTTGTTCCATATTGAAGTGAGCTAGCAATAGAAGGACTACCTGGAGTACGTTATGGTGTGCAGTACTTTGGGTCGGATGTCAGGAAGACCTCATTTGCATCCTGCCTCCACAGATTATGAAGTGGGTGACTTCAGGAAGTTCTGTATCCTGTGCTCTTCAGCTAGGGGATGGAACAGCATCTCCCTCATAAGGCTGTTGTGAAGATGAAATGAAAGAAGGTACAACACCTGGCATGTTGTAAGCCCTCTGGAAATGGTGGTTATTAATATACACATCAAGCTTCTTTATTGATAATCTTTAAGAAATGTTAAATAAACTGTCATTTAGTGCCCTGTGATCAAGGTGGTTTAGTAGTAGCCACAGGCAGCCTCTGACAGGTGAGGGCTTGAGACCCGTGTCGGAGTCCAGAACTTCCTAACTAGTGTGTGACTTGGGCAAGTCATAACTTGGGTTTTGATTGTGTCTTCTTTCCATTTTTACCTGTTGGATGATGAATTATAGAGTTAAGTCTTGTGACGTTGTTATGATTTGTTGAAATATCAAGGAAATCCTGCTTTGTAAAACTGAAATTACCAAGATGTTTTGGTATTGTTAATACTGTTGATGTTAAATATTGCATTGAAAAATACTGCAATCACAGAGGATCCCCTTTACCCCCATGAGAATACATTTGAGAAAAATACAGAAACTGAATTGAAAACATTTTCAGGTAAGATTTTGTTTGTCTTATAGGCATTTTGTTCCCAACATCACCTTTGGGCACCCTGTGGTAGAAAGCCTCCGAAAGCAGCTAGGCCAGGACCCTTTCTTTGGTAAGTGGGTATTATGCTGTCGGAAGCCAGATGTGTTGCTCAAGTAAAGGAAAAGTAGATGGTTGATTTCTCAACTTCCAATCTCATCTTGAACCCTTTCCCCTGCTCTCTGTGCCGACGCTTCATTGGCTGCTTTTAATAAGCCAAACTCTTTCTTGCTTCAGGGCCTTGGCACTTTCACTGATCTCCTTGCCTGGAACACTGTTCACTTGGCCAGCTCTGCCTTATCTTTTGGCCCTGAATTTTTGGCATTTCCTTAGAGAGGCCTTTCTAAGCACCCCATCCTAAATTAACCTTTGTCCAGTTATCCTTATCACCTTCTGAATTTTCTTTCTAGAAATTCCTTCAATCAGATTACTTTTATCTAACTATAAACTCCTTTAGAGCAGGAATTTAATCCACTTTGTTTACTGTGGTTTTCCTAAAGGTAAGCATACACACAAGATTGGAGCTTAGTGTAATTGTTAAATGAATTTATAAATCAGCCGATTTATGGTCTAGAAGCGAAACCAATTATTTCATGCAAATTGGAGTTTCTACAAGTGGGGCCTATGTATGCTCCACTGTGGTATTGTAGAATAAGGTGAGGTAAGCTTTTTAAGAAGACGCAGTGACCTGGAAGTTATTTCTGTGAACATGGATTCAGTCCGCATGTTGTTATTGCTCTTTTTAGCTAAGTTAGCAATGGCTTAACCTGACAAATCTCTTGTACATAAGAAATTTAACAAATTTTTATAAATATGTTCCTATGTAACTTTTGGAATTATAAAACAGATTTTTTTTTTTTTTCCAGCAGATTGTGGACCATTTTTATGAAGGATTCTAGCTGTGCAGTCCCATATGGTCGTCACTAGCCATATGTGGCTATTTAAATTTAAGTTAGTTCAGATTAAATGAAATGAAAGATGAAGCTTCTCAGTGGCATTAACCATATCGCAGGCTCTCGATGGCCACGTGAGTCTAGTGACTACTGTACTGTATAATGCCGCTATGGATCATTGCTGTCTTCGTAGAAATGTCTTTCAGGCAGAGCCTCTTTCTAGGATCCATGGACTTTGCACGAAAGAAAATGTACCTTACCAATTTTTTTTTTTTTTTAAGATTATTTATTTATTTGAGAGAGAGAATGAGATAGAGAGAGCACGAGCAGGGGGAGGGTCAGAGGGAGAAGCAGACTCCCCGCTGAGCAGGGAGCCCGATGCGGGACT